AGCTCCCAAGTTTTGTTCTTTTCGATGGCTCTAAGTTCTTATTTCACGGATTCACACCAATTCGAATTTCTCAAGGCTTCACCATCATGGATTCTTCAATTAAGTCACCATCAACATTGATTTCTTGATCCGAAAACCTCTCATATCCAATCAGCCTAATCGAACAGTTCTTGTTCTTGTGGACCTTCTTTCTTTCTGCACAGGCGGTTCTTCAATTCGACCAGTCGAAGTATCAACTTGTTCATTTTGACTTGTCGAAGCTTCATTCTGTTCATCTCCTTCGAATAAAGTTGCACCGGTGGTTCTTCGATTCGACTAGTCGAAGTATCACCTTGTTCATTTTGACTTGTCGAAGCTTCGTTCTGTTCATCTTCTTTGAACAAATTTGCACAGGTGGTTCTTCCATTCGACCAGTCGAAGTATCACCTTGTTCATTTTGACTTATCGAAGCTTCATTTTGTTCATCTTGTTTGAACAAAGTTGCACAGGTGGTTCTTCGATTCGACCAGTTGAAGTATCACCTTATTCATTTTGACTTGTCGAAGCTTCGTTCTGTTCATCTTCTTCGAACAAAGTTGTGACTGTGTCTGATTCTTGTTGAACTGAACTTCGACTCCAATCCCACCTTTTGCTTTTGTATTCAAGAATATCTCTACTAATCACTAGTTTATATTCAATTGGTGACCTATGAGCACCATGACTTCACTTCGATCATCCAGTTTCTTTCTCAATTGTTCAGGTACATTCCTGAAACACATTGATCCAAAAACTCTAAGATGACTTACATTTGGCTTCGACCCTGTCCAAGCCTCATGCAATGTAATTTCGACCATCTTTTTCATTGAGCATTTATTCAGAGTGTATATTATTGTCGAAGTTGCTTCAACCCAAAATCTCTTAGACAATTTTTTAGCTTTCTACTTACATCTCGTCAAGTTAAGTATACTTCTATTCTTTCTTCCAGTTATGCCATTATGCTGAGGCGTATAGGGTGCAATAACCTCCTGTAATGTATGAGCTTGTACCTTCCAAATGATGCATTTCTTGAGCTTGAGGATAAAAGAGAAGTTGTAGGGCATGAAACTTCGCATGGACAAACTTGAAGACATATTAGGACCATGGAAAACATTTGAGACCTTTGGAGCTCACACATCTTGGTGAAAAGTGAAACTAGTTGAAAGGCCATTGCTTAGGAGGAGAATTGTCTGATCAATTCTTGGTCAACCTTGAGCAATTGAGGATCTTAATGAGCATGCCTTGAGTAAAATGGGAGGGAAATGTTTTGGGTGTAACAGATGCCTAATACTGGACCGGTCTCCCGAATGATATCGAAGGATTTATCCACCCCTGAATCCCCTATGATGGTTCTATCATTAAGATACAAGGCGTGAAGAATAAGCTTACAGTTATCTCCGATCTAATGAATAAATGGATGTAGCACAAGAGAAAAAAGGAGTGGCCCTAACGAGTCATCTCGTTGCACTCTAGTGGCTGGCATGATATATCCATCCTTGAGGTATATCCTTGTTGCCTGGCCATAAAGAAACTCAACCCACAAAGAAATGGATGGGTAACTCAGCCTCACCTCTAGAAGTAGGATTAATCAATCTACTAAGTTGAAATCATTCGTGAAATCTATTATGAGCATAGCCACAAATTCATTTCCATATAGCTTGCTTAACACCCTATTGACACTATGCAAAATGGTTCTGGTACCTATTGATACTCTGATCCCAAACTAGAAGTCATTGAGATATCGTTCCACATTTTTACTAACCCATTTATTTGCAATAATTGGATACCAACCACCTCCAAATAGAGCCCACGACATTTGGTTGTATCCCACCACCAGGTTTCAATAACAGCGTCAAGGTTGTTGAGGCAACAAACTCACCAATCATCTCCCTCTCTCTCATTTCTAGGTTAACAACTAGAATGATTGTGTATAAGTGATCTCTATACATAATAGAACCTTCTCCACTCAGTATGTCTAATAAATGTCGTGCTAGGAAACCATCTCTAATGCATGAAGTCCCATTGAGAAATAATTTAATACACCTGAAGATAGTATCAACTTCATCCACTAGAGGAGCTTTAGAGAATAAGGTGGTAGGAATGCAAAAAGGTGGTTTGTACGAGTGTTTAGCCTCCAAAATGTTAATTGTATGTGCATTATAAAGGGGGTCACTATTGATGACCCCAACACTTTTCACAGCCAACGTGAAGTGGTCATCTGCAACCTTGTGAAGACATTGTTTGACATTAGAGCTAATCGTTATATTTTTCTCCTCAATATGAACTCCTCTGGCCCAAGTTGTCTTGCTCATAGCTACCTAACACACTATCAACTAACTTGACAAGACCATATGTGGCCCTCAAAATAGCTAAGCCCTCCAAATTGTGTTGTTATTGCAAGGACTTCTAACTCTCAAACTTGCGATCCTTTCTATTCTAAGATTTGACCACCTATAAAGTGCAACAAAAAAGAAGTAACAACCAAACTCAAACATCTACAAATCTCTACTCAACAACTACCTTATAAAGAGTGTTTGTCAATGCTTGAAAAAAAACTAAACGATGCTTAAGAGATATACTCTTCAAAGTGAAAATAGGTGTTGTAAAGACTCTTTCTAACAACATTTAATCCAATCTAAATATAAATTAATTTATGAATTTAATTCAATGTAAGATTGATTTCACGGTGGGAGCATCTAAAATAAATTTTAAACTAGATTGAGACCCGTACGATGAATTTTTAAAGTAGTATTGGATTATATAGATTTTAATTTTGTTTAGTATAAAAAGAATTATAATTGAGACGATACGATGAAAAGGACAAAAAAGAGAGAACAACTTTAAATGAAAAAATATGTTTGAGTTGAGTTGTATAAATGATAAATAAGACGTTGTTATTTAATTTAAAAATATGAAATAAGTGGAAAAAATTCAATAATTATTTTATATTTCTTTTAATTTTTTTCTAACATTTTTAAAAATGTTAAATCTTCATCATTTTATGGATTTGAGACATTCTATATACGAACAACTTAGATTCTATATAATAAATTATCACAGTCAACATCAAGATCAAAAATGAACTTCTCCATTTTTTGAAGTATGTATTTTTAATTTTGCATTTTATTTTTCACAGAAAATAAACATGTCTAATAGACACCGTTGAATATCAAATACTCAAATCATTATATATATATATATATATATATATATATATATATATATATATATATATATATATATATATATATATATATATATATATATATATATATATATATATATATATATATATATATATATATATATATATATATATATATATATATATATATATATATATATATATATATATATATATATATATATATATATATATATATATATATATATATATATATATATATATATATATATATATATATATATATATATATATATATATATATTGTAAAGATTGTGTGAATTAGTTTGTTGAAACAAATGATTTTTAATCTTTTATATTTTGGTGAATTTGTCTTCAACTAAATTTTATGAAAACGATAAATCTTAATTTTAGAGTATTTATGGATTTTGTGAAAATGATAAATCTTAATTTTAGAGTAATTATTTTATTAATTTTGTGTGTGGTTTATTTTAAATATTGTTTAATTTTTTATACATATTTTTATTATTTAATCTAAATCTTTTAAATTTAATATTTTTTTTATCTTATTATATATGTTCACCTAAAATCTAAGCTTTTGTAAGTTGTTAATTACTCATTTAAACTTGTAATTTTATTTTTAAAACAAAACTTGTATTGTATTATATTGACTTAAATTATTGATTATATTGACTAAACTTATAGAATCAATATTATTTTTCACAAACATATTGTTTTTAACAAAGATGAAATATATGAAAAGATTGAGAAAAAAAAAGTTAAAGTTATTAGTAATTAATTTAACAACTAATTACTAATAACTAATAACTTTAATATATATTAATTTTACAAGCCTTATAGATAAATTCTTAAAGATGTCACATAGAAATATATTTGATATAGATGATGAGGTGTTGTGGCAAGAATCTATGACTATGATAGATGTTATTGAATAATGTGATGCATTGAATATATAGATATATATATAAATGTGTAAAATTGATTCTAACATATTTGATTGTCATTAAATAGAACTGATTATATTTTTGAAAATTATTCCATTTGAAATTAAGATTTTTGATTTTTGAATGTAAATATAATTTTTAAACTGACATTTATTGTTCAGTTCACTTTAATAAAATTTAATTAAGCCTAAATCACTATTAAGCAAAATTAATTTTATAAAATCAATTTTCTTAATCAAATAACATATTTATTCATTTAATATATCATCTATTCAATAATAACTAAATATATCATTTATTCAATAAATTTAAAAAACTTTTTATGACTTACAAATATGTCCGAGGTCCGAGGAGAATGTATGAATTTGTGCTTTTTTTTTTTCAAAAAATAAAAAATATGAATTTGTGGCACTACATGATCAAAACACACATAAAGCTATATAAAATTTGGTACTACCCATAAAAGTAAGAAATATCACAGTAACATCCTCATGAATCCTCTTAATAAAACAAAATATATCACATTAAATGTGTACCACTTCAGCCATTTTCAGATCCCTCTCTTCTATTATTAGCTACTTTTGTGTCATCACTGAAGCCGTACACATTTTGCACCAAGGAAAATCACATGCTTTCTAAACACCTAACAATATCTCTTACATTTTAATTAGAGCAACAACATAGAGATGCTACATAGCATTAGAATATGAAAAATCAAAAGGCCAACAATTACTAAATCAACCAAGATCATCATAACAAATGACAAGTGACAACAAAGAATTCCCTTTCATAACTAAACCCGAAGTTAGTTATGAAAATAAATTCTCTGCAGTCACGCAGTTACAAATCTCGACCATTATATTTAGTCGAGATTATTAGTTATGATGAGGAATGACAGTGTTGGTATGATAGGGAGGTCTCCAAGCAGAAGCAGTAAGCAAACAAAGATCTTTCCAACCAAGTTTAAGAATACCATTATCTTCAACCAAAGTATACCCTTCAGAAGGGAACATACCAAGAAGAAGACTAGCTTGAGTAGCAGCATTACCAGCCAAAGAGATACCTCTAAAACCACACTGTTGAAGCTTTTCTCTCCAATTATGGAACTTAATCTCACCACTTCTCGATGGCCCTCCGACCGCAAGTACATTGCGAATCTCTCTTGATAATAGCTGCTGCTCCACCACATGTCTCTCTTCACTCTCTTCACCATAGCTTGAACCAAGAGAATCAAATAGTGCTGAGTAGTAATGTATTGCCTCCACAAACCTTCCCAAGAATGAACCTGCATTGCTCAGGTCTTGCTCCACTACTGTTACCACTTTAGGTGCCAACCTAAAAAGATAACACAAAAAAAAAAGCAAATCCAATGAAAACATGAGATACTTACTATAAACATCTTCATGATAACATATGAGTTCTTTTTGTTTCTATCTATTAATTTATGCAAAAACATAATCATGGCTTCCAATTCACCTTTTGAAGAGAAAAAGGTAGACATAAAGTGGAGCACTATAGTCTATAAAGGTTAAAAAAGAGAAGCATGTAAAGTTTTGGAAAATCTTTCATGAAAAAGTGTTGTTTTTCCATATCAGCTACCACTAATTCATGTAATATATATACACAAAACAAGCTGGAATGAAAAAGAGTAACAAACTATAACTTTTATTAGTACCAACCTTTGCAAGAGCCACAAAGTGTTTGTATCTGAACCAGTTACATCATATAAAGAATGTTGCAACCAATGAACAGCAACAGCTTCTGATTTACTCACATTAAGCTTCTCAACATCAATGTTTCCAACTTTCTCAGCAACGGGAAAGAACTCAAAAGGAAGACCAAGTTTGTTAGCAAAGTCAGACAAACGTTTGCCAGTAGCTTCAAGTGTTTCCATGGAAGTACCTAATCCAGTGAGTCTCACATAAGGTGGTCCACCTGGTCTTGAAGCAAGGATATGAAAAAGACCAGGCCATTGTAAGCCTTGCATTATGTCGAGATCTATGATGTGAACTCTTTCTTCTCTTTCAAAGGCTTCTTGTATAGCTTGGTTAGCAGTGAAATGAGAGAATTTCACAAATGGACTGATTCCATTGAAGACTTGAAAAGCTGAAGCAACTTTTTGGTTGTGTGGTGTGTGTGATGAAACTGGAAGTGTTGCGTAGATTCCTAAACATGAACTCACTAGTCTGGCTGAAATGGCTTCTGAAAAATAAGCTGCTACTCTTTGTGCTGATGTGCCGAAAGGAGTCGAGAGCTGCGAAATCTCGAGTAACATCTTGTTTGCTTGTTCTAGATTCTCTGCTGATACAGCTTCTGCACATTGGAGAAGAAGTGTTAGAAGGTGTAAACCTTCTTCGTCTTTCTTCTTCTGTTCTTTAATCTCTTCTTTCTTCTTTCTTGCAAGTGCCAACTCAGCAGAAGTAGTTGTTGTTGTTACAGGTGCAAGATCTTCTTGATGCTGTTGAAGTTGATGATGTGGATCTTGTTGTGTGGTTTGTGCTTGCGAAGGTAAAGTAACCAAAGGGTTGTTGTTGATTTGTGTAGCACCCCAATTTGGAAACATGTTTTGGTTTTGATTCAGAAGAGTTGAAGAGTCAGAAAAATGTAAACTTGTTGTATGAACAACATCATCAACACGGTTCATGAGTTTCACAGAAGAGTTATTATTAACATTTGAAGCTGCTAGAACATTACCATTAACGTTAACAACACTTTGTTCTGCGTTGTTTCTTTTTCTCTCTTGAACACAAGTGTTTGGTTCTGTGAGAAGACGAAGCCTGTGTTCAAGAACAAGAGCAAGATTTGGATTGCAAGGATATATTATCTCTCGAACATTATTGATAAGCTGAGGAATAGAAACACTGTTTGAAGTATGAATGAGATCCTTCAAAATACCGTCAATCCAGTTTGTTGTAGCCGAGGTTTCTTCCATTGAAGGAGAAGAACTAACAACATCAACAACACCGTTAGTGTTGTTTCTGTTGTTGCTGCTGTTGTTGTTGGTTCGGTTTGTTTGATTGTTTTGAGATGGAAAAAGTGGTAAACCGGAGAAACCACATATAGCAGGAAGAGTGTTTTGTTCTTCTACAAGAGGTTGTTGTTGGTAATGAGTGTAGTTTGTAGCAGAGGTAGAGGAATTGTTGAGGTTTGAAGAACAAGAAGAAGGTAGCAACATAGTGGAGTAGTTGGTTGTGACGAAATTTTGAATAGCAACGTTATCTCGTGACAAAGCAACGTTGTTATTATGTTGACTAATATTATTATCATTATTATTATGATAATGATAGTTATTATTATTATTATTATTATTACCTGATGAGGCTAATGTTGTTGTTGTAGTAGTAGTGACACCTTTTTGTGTGGTTGCAGGTAAAGAGCAATTCAACGAGGTAGTGTTGTTGTTGGTTCGACGAGAAAACCTAAGATAATTGTTGTTGTTGTTGTGAAGTTGAAGTTCCATTTCAGAAGCCGTTCTTTTTCTGAGTAATTTTCTTTCAGAATGATGTTGTTGTTGTTGAGGTATGTTGTGAAAATCTTCACTGCTGAGGTTACTCGAGTTAGAGGTACTATTGTTGTTGGTTTCATCAGTAGTAGTGTTTCCTCCTCCAACAGCATTGAACAAAGCACAAGCAGTAGCCATATTGAGATGAAGAAAGAAGATGAATATTGAGTATGAGTTCAGTTAGAAATAGACATAGACATAGTAGTAGTGTTGTGTTGGTTTAAGAGGAAAAAAACCATGTGTTGGTTCCAAAGTTACAAGGAGATAACGTTGTGAAGATTGAGACAGTAGCTAAAGGATTCTCTTCTCTCATAGGACTGAGTAATTGAATTGAAATGAATGAAAGGATTCTCTCTCTATAGACTATAACACAATAGAACACGGTTCTCTATGCCTTTTGCCTTTTGGATGTTTCTGATATCTCTCTCTTTCTTTGGCATGGGGAGGGTGGAAAAAGAGAGGGGTGTGTTGGGGAGAAGAACATGAATCAAAACTGCTCACGGCGGCTAGTTATTCGTCTTTGTGTACTTTGTTTTATCTTTACTATTCATATCTTGTTAACCATATATTATTATTATTATATGGTAGAACCACATGTATGTAAAGACTATTGTTTTTCTTTTCATAACATCATATGCTGTGCCATATAGTAGTAGTACTACTTAATTTTTTAATCACAAAAATACTACCAAATGTGAATGCATGCATTACATTATAGGTATACTTTTTTATTTGTCTAGTATTAAGTACAGTAGTGTTTCAATAAATTTCAGATATTTATGTCTATATGTTGATATTGGTAAATACTACACGGTAACATTTATATTTATAGCAATGTTATGTTTACACTTTTTTTACACTAAATACTTACACGGTCATGTTCACACTATTTATATAGTGGATAGTTTTTTATAAAATAAAAAATACATATTTGTAAATAGATATGTCAACAGTGCGTGACGTATGTAAAAAGTGATATTTATAGGAAAATAAAATTGGTTAATAAAATATAAAAAATTAATTAATTAAGTGATGAAGTTGATTAATAAATGTCTAGATATTAAAAATGATTTAATAGTAAAATAAAATTGATTAATGAAAAGTAAAAAGTTAATTAATAAATACTTAAATATTAAAAATAATTTTTAATAGTATGATAAATTAATGAAAAATAAAGTATTGATTAATAAAATTGATTAATAAACGTTCATATATTAAAAATAATTCTAATAATAAAATAAAATTAATTAATAAAATATAAAATATTAATTAATAAAATTATTAAATTAGTTAATCACACAATTTTATATCGATGTCTCTTAATCTAAGAATAAAAATTACTTATTGTTCATATAACATATCACTTATTTCGTACATATATCGATGATAAATTAATTAATAAACTAAAATATCAATAATAAAATATCACATTTTCGTACATCATACATGTTCATATAAAAAGATATGTAACAAATAATCACTTATTCATCATGTTTAAATTTCGTTTCATTTATTTGCAGCGGAAAACATCACTAGTAATTATTCTCAACATGAATGATAGTCATATTAATTCAAAATTCAACATAAAATATCAATTAAATCCAACAAATAGAGTTCTACAATAGTTTACTCCCATCATAATAAAACAAATGTAAAATCCCCAAATGTTACGTATCAGAGCTGACATCGACTCAATCTACGCAAAATGAGGCATTTCTCAGTGAACTTCTACCTCGAGCTACTTTAGATCATCTGCATGTTACCCACGTAGAGGCAACATTCGAATAGAAGGCGTGAGATATCATAACAATACAAAAGAAAGCATAATAACGAGTAGATAACAATTTAAGTACGCATAATTATACTTCTTTACCTCACACCTTTACTTCAATCATCACACTACAACATACATAAACATATAAGCAAATATGCATACAACACATAACACTCATCATAATTAACGCATACTCATTCAGCATCAAAATATCAAGTTATCAATCATAATGCAATGCAATGAGACCGACACTGACTCAATGCATGTGGTACCAATAAGACAGAACCCTCATCATAATGTCAACTTAGGGCAGCAACATCATAACGCCAATACTGGTCATCTCTCGCCAATACAACCATCGTTCACCAATACAGACTATCATTCACCAATACAGGTCATCGTTCGCCAACACAGGTCATTGTTCGTCAATACAGGCCATCGTTCATGAATGCACGCGACACTGATATGTAACAACGTAATTTATATTGATTATTCTTACTCATCAATGTCACGCCAATATAAGTCATCATCATCATTATCATGCAATACATCATGCAAATTAATGAATTATTCATACAACATCATCTTACTCAACCGCATCTCAATTCATGGCACATTGCTCAGGAATATACACATATATGTATCAATGTTGGTCGAATAATTACCTCTGTGTTTCCAATTTATTTTTATAGGATAGAAAATCATTTTAGCTTCGTACTGGTCCAAACTGCGCGTCAAACAGACACCAGAGTCAAAAGTTACGGATTTTCAAAGTTTCAAAAATATTTCGGCTCAGCACACACAAGAAACTGGTTTCCCAAAAATCGGAAACCCGTTTCTGCATTTTTACAGTAACCCGCGTGACAAAACACGTTGATGAAACCAATTTCTCCAAAATTGAAAACATGTCTCTTCTCAGACAATAACATGTTTCTTCTGCAATTTTTCACGCGGAAATCGGTTTCCCAAAAATCAGAAACCGGTTTCTACTACACAGAACAATTTTTTATGCTATTTTTCAAGACACGATTCTTGTTCCAATCGACCCTAAAAAATCTCAATTTTCAATTCAAATCAGTATCATATGATTCCATAAAACACACACTTCATACCCATCATTCCAACAAAACTTAAATCAATAATTTTAACCAATTTCATCAGATTTATAATCAACAATTCATCAAAATACAAAACCACACAAAACAATGGTGAAATTCTGGGATAACAGAACTGAGATGTCCAAAGAGGATATCGAGACATCTGATCTGACACAAATAACACAGACAAGGTATAAACATTAAAAACAGTATTGAAAAGCAATAACACACCAGAATTGTTAACCCGATTCGGAACAACTCTCCTACTCTGGGGACATACCAAGTCAGGGACAAATCCACTAATAGTAGTATCAATTTAAAGATAAACTCCCATATTTACAACTTATCACTTAATCACTATCATTTCTATATTTCTATCTAAGACTCACCTAGATATGAGGCCCTCCATAATCCCTCATCAATCACAGACAGCGATTGCATCAACAAAATTCTGAACAAACTGGAAAAAACACTTCCATGACCATACATATGTAAGACTCAAGGTTAAACTCTCACGTTTACAACCTTTCTCCTAACCAATAACAACAACTTGGAGTTTCTTTAAAGATTCCTCCAAGAACAATACTCAACTCATTACCTACAGGTTTCTGAGTGAGAACATGGTGACCATCACACAACCCGAGTGGTTCACCTAGACAAAGCCCTAGACTTCTACATCTTGAACTCGTGCCAAACTAGGTTTAAAACCCTTCTATTTATAACATATTCCCAACTAGACTTGGGATTTCTAATAACAGCAAATCAGTTGTTAGAAACCAATAGTAACTTCAGCTACAAACAAGGTCTTCAATCATTAGTTTTCTAAATAATCTCCTTATTTAGAAACTGTATAATCTTCGATATTCTGACTTGTTTCTCTATACATTTGATTCAGCACCACATAGGATTGCATCATATTCCCTGAATATTCTGAACTTATTAAATCATAACAAATTTAACAGAATCACTTTAGCTCAGGTGCGATGTCATATGCTCTTTCATAGGACATCTTATTTGATATGTTGTTATAGATGTTAAAACACTTCAACTCAACATGTCCCAACATAAGATATGACTTCTTGCTCAACATGTTCCTGTCATCAAATTAATATATCCTATCTAACATATTGCTACTTTATTTGTTTTATAAAAATTTATGTCAATCATAAAACTAGAGAACTAACAATCTCCCCCTTTGACAAATTTTGGTTAAAACAAATAAATAAAAATACAACCCAATATTACATCGATACAAAAGCATCCATCAACAGCAGTCCTCAGATACTATTGAACACAATGGCGCAACAATATGGAGACAATATTAATAAGCTTAATGATGTTAGGACATCATGTTCAACATCTTCTTCATGAGAGCTCCATTGCAACAAGAATTTCAGCATCAAAGAACAACAACCCCAAGATAAAAGGAATGAGAGTCCTGAAGTTATTTGATGCACCTGATCGAAACGAGGAAGGTTGTTGTACCCCAAAAATTTTCCTCTCATTTTCACACAAAACATACCCCTAGAGGTCCTCAATTGCTCAAGTTAACTAAGGATTGACCAGACAAATCCTCCTCCTAAGACAATGAGTCTTAAACTAGGGTTTCACTCCTTATCAAGATGTTTAAGTTTCAATGGTCCTAAATGGTTTCTATTTCCATAGTATGTTCTCAAGATCATACATGCCAAGTTTCATGCCTTGCACAAGAAGTTTGCTTAGTCAGCTGGTTAAATGCCTGAAAATCAACTGTATTAGGGCAAAAGTCAACTGTGACCCACATACAGTCAAACTTCAATATTTTTGGTCAACATCAAAATTTTGAAGTGATATCCATCATTTTATCAAGGGTTGATCATGATTCCTCAAGGAATGCTCCTAATTCATCAAAACTCAAAAGTTACTAAATTAGGGTTTATATAGGAAAAGTCAACCAAATTTTGACCAGGCATAACTTTCTCATAATTTATCAGAAATTTCTCATCCAAGGCTCATTTTGAAGAGAATCCAATTCCCTACAATTCATATTCATCCCTCAAGTTCAATAAATGCACTCATGAAAAGATATAAATTCAGACATTATAGGTCATTTCAAAAAGTCAACAAAAACACCTTTTGGGTCAAAGCTCCTTACATTAAAATGGAAGATCCAATTGAGATGAAACCAAAAGGATTGTTTAGAGGATATCCTAAGATTTATAAAAAGTCCAAGAACACCATTTTAGTGTCAAAATTAAGTGAGAGATATGCATTGTCAAAGTTGGCCA